AACTATGGGTTGCCACTGCCGTCCGGTCACACCAGGCTGTAAAGCAACCCCAGACCCTACCATAAATGGCCTGGGTCTCCTCCTTCCTACTGGCCAGTAATGTCGCCACTACCTTAGGCGAGAACCCCTTCTCTAAGAGGAGCTGCTGCTCAGAAACCAGGCCGTTAACTGTAATCTTCCCACGCTGGGGCAAAGAACCGGCCCCTGTGTTAACAAATCCTCTCTCGGTGGCAGCTCCCAGGGTGGACGAGAGGCCAAACTTTTTAGGGTCGCAAACCACGCCCGCCGCGGCCAGAAGGGAGCTATCAGGATTAACGAGGTCCCCTCTGTCCTGAATTTCCTCAGGACCAGGGGTAGCAAGGGAACCGGGGGGAAGGCGTAACAAAGCCGGTAGTCCCACCTCTGACCTAATGCGTCCACCGCTCTGGACCCGTCCCAGCGGGATAGAGAGAAGAAATTTGGGACCTTGTTGTTCCTCCCGGAGGCAAAAAGGTCCACATCCGGGGATCCCCACCTCCGCACAATCTCCTGAAAGACATTGGGGTTCAAGGCCCATTCCGACTCCCTGAGCTGTCCTCCTGCTTAGGAAGTCTGCTTTCTGGTTCAGCTCTCCTTTTAAGTGTATCGCAGACAGGGACGCCAAGTTCACCTCTGCCCAGGACAACAGTGTCGCCGCTAAGGCTCCGAGGGCCTTGCTCCTTGTCCCTCCCTGCCTGTTTATATAAGCCACTGCCGTGGCATTGTCCGTTAGGACACGCACGTGCTGGCCCGTGACCCACGCCTGGAAGGAGTGCAGAGCCCCCCACACTGCCCTCAATTCCTTCCAATTTGAGGATTTGGCCTTCTGCCCCAAGGACCATTCCCCCTGAGTCACCAAATTTCCCAGGTGGGCTCCCCAGCCCCTGGCGCTGGCATCTGTAGTGACTTCCGTGGATATCGGAAAGCACCACAACAGCCCCTGAGTTATGCTGGACGATCTCCTCCACCACCATAGAGACCTCTTCACACTGGGGGGAACCAGGACCCTGCGTTCTAGGGAGTGACTCCTCCTGTCCCAAACCCTCAGGATCCACAACTGGAGGGGACGCATATGCAGACCTGCCCACTGAACTGCCGGAATGGACGCTGTCAGTAATCCAAGTACCGACATGGCCTGCCTTATGGATATCGACCTGCTCCCCTGTAGTAATCTGACCCCGGCTTCCAACTTGGTGATTTTTTCCAAAGTCAGGCTGGTCTTCTGGTCCACCGAATCTAGAGCGTAGCCCAAGTAAATCACTTTCTGAGAAGGTTCCAGATTCAAAAAAATCCACCCCAAGCTTTCTAGATGGCCCCTCACTATAACCAGGTCTTGCCGTAAGTGAGCCTCTGAATCTGCGAAGAGCAGCAAATCGTCCAGATAGGCCACCACTGAAATCCCCCTCAAGCGAATAGAAATCAGTGCCTCCGACAGAACCTTGGTGAATACTCTTGGCGAGGAGGAAAGGCCGAATGGAAGAGCCCTGAACTGCCAATGTCGAATTCCTTCCTCCCCCCCCACTGCCAACCTGAGGAACCTCTGAGAGGCTTCCGCCACGGGCACGTGTAGGTAGGCGTCCTTCAAGTCTATGGATGCCATGAATGCACCTGGCGGTATTAGGGACCCGATTGTAAAAATGGAGTCCATGCGGAACCTCCGGTAACGCACTGACCTGTTTAGGGGTTTCAGGTTCAAAATCAGTCTGAACGCCCCAGACGGCTTTTGAACCACAAACACATGGGAATAAACTCCCTTCCCTCGTTCCTCTACCGGAACCCTGGAGATGACCCCCTGGGACTCTAGAATCTCTAAAGCGCCCACCAGAGCCGCGTCCTTCATCGGATCCCTTGGACGGGTCGTCACCAGAAAAGTCTCGGGTGGCGGCCTTAGAAACTCCAACCGGTAACCCCTTCGGATGACATCCAAAATGAAGGGGCTGGTGACCACGGCTTCCCACTGTGGGAGGAATGCCGCCAATCTTCCCCCCCACAGGAGGAACCAAGTCACCTTGGCTTTTGGGGCTGCTCAGGAGGGCGAAAAAATCGCTCCCCCTCTTCCCCTACCTCTGTCCAGCAGACCTACCCTGACCAGGCGGTCGCAGGCTCAGCCTCTTTGCCGGGCCTTCCGTGTCCCCCCCCTCCTGCATTTTCCTCTTGAGGGGGAAGGACTTCTTCCTATCAGCTGTCCGGTCCAATAACTCCTCCAACCCCGGGCCGAACAGACAGTCTCCAGTGAGGGGGATGCCGCACAACCTAATTTTCAAAGTGATGTCCCCCTGCCATGTTTTTAGCCACAGCGCCCTTCTGGCTGAGTTGGTCAGGGCAGCAGACCTGGCCCCCAACCTCACCGACTCTGCGGAAGCGTCCGCAATATACCCAACACCTTGCAAAAGGGTCTCAAAAGAGGCCAAGATTTTTTCCTTGGGAGAGTGCCACAATATGGGCCTGTAATTGCGTAAGCCAATACTCTAAGTTTCTGGCTACCACTGTCGTAGCCATGGCCGGCTTCAGGTTGTACAGGGTCGAGTCCCAGGCCTTCCTAAGGAGAGACTCTGCCCTTCTGTCCAATAAGTCTGGTAAGACCCCCATGTCCTCAAACGCCAGATCAGTTCTCCTGGTCGTTTGGGAAAAGGCTGCGTCTAGTCTAGGGCTCTTGTTCCAGACCGCCTCCGGGTCTTCCGAAAACGGAAATCTCCTTCTCAAAGCCTTAGAGAAGAACGGCTTCCTTTCCGGGTCCTGCCACTCCTTAATGGTGTCCACCAAAATGTCATGCACAGGAAATACTCTGTGCTGGTGCTCCTCCAACCCCTGATACATTTGGTCGTGGAGAGATAAGGCCTTAACCTCCTCCTTAATGTCCAGGGTTTCGTATATAGCCCCCAGGAGCTCATCTACCTCCTCTAGAGTCAATTTGTACCGGGAGGGGCCCCTCCCTTCCTCCGAGGGACCCTCCCCCGCCGATTCCTCCTCAGACTGGGAGTCCCCCACTGGTTCCTCCCCGGTCATAAGGGGTTCCCGACGACTCACCGAAGCTACCTGGGGGGGGGGGGGGGGGGAGGTAAAGGTAATGGGAGGGCAAACCTCTCCATGAGGGATTTGAAGGAGTCGAAGGTGGTAGCCAACTCCTTCACTGATCTGGCTAGGTCCCCCTGTTCCGGCTTCTCCTCCCTCACCAACCCCTGTATACATGGGCCACAAAGAACCTTTCGCCAAGATTCTTTCAAAACTTCCTTACAGGAAGGGCATCTCCGCTTGGGCTCCTGGTGCCTAAGTTTAGCTCGGGCCTTGCCCTGAAAGACACAAAAGAAGGGGGGGGAGGAGGGAAGCCTAATCAGTCCAACACTAAACACCCCCCCCCCCCCTGCTCCTTCCTGGCAGAGCAAAAAAGGGCCTGCAAATCCGCAGACCCCTTGCCCCACCTTCCCACTGCTAGGGGCCAACAGGTAGGGGAGGCCTCCACTGAGGCACCTTACCTGTGACTGGCTGGTGCTGGCATCTCCTGGTCCCGGTGCCTCCGACATCCCGTACCGGAGGGTGGTCGCCTGGCGCTGGTCTGTCCCCCAGACCGCTGTGCACCGCCTTTTCAAATTTCGCGCCGCCGTGGTGTGAGGACCGCGACCGGAAGTCGCAGCCCTGGGCGAAGCCCCGCCCCTTCCGCTGGAAACCGTCGTCTCCCGACGTCCGGCCCGGCAAAGTCCTCCGACCGCCAGCATGGGAAGGAGCGGAACTCCCCCCGATCCTCCCCAGATCTCACCACGGCCACCACGACGCCCCCCCTCGCCGGAGAGGGTCGGGGGGCGAGGAACAGGCAAGTGCTTTGTCCCGTCCCCCGGGATGCACTCTCACTGCCCGCAGCCTGCCCAGGGAGGATATGCAGCCGGACACTCCGGCCTTCGCTCCCGGCTGCGTCGGGCCTCTCAGTCGGCTATCCGGCCCTCGGCTCCCCTATCGCCTGCCCTGCGCCTCCTCGTGTCTCCCCACCGGAGGAAACACCTGAACTGAGGTCAGAGGGGAGTGGAGCTTTTTTATTGTAGGTGGAGGTGTTTCCTCAGATGGGGAGGAGCCGAGGTCTCTCAGAGTGCTGGCCTGAAAGACGGTAGGGGAAAAAAAAACCCAATTACCCCATTTTTTTGTAAACTGTAAAAAATGAGGTTGCACCAAGTAAATAGATATCCAGCTTGTCAAACCTTAAATTTGCGTGCACTCATGAAATGGCGAAGAACTTCTGTACCCTATATTTTCTATAGGTGATGCTTTTAAAGACCCTTCTAGGTCATCAGTATAGTGATATGGAGGAGGTCTGGTGCTAGAATGACTGCTCTCATCCTGGCGCGTGCGGCGATATGCAACATGTGCATCGTAATAAATGTTTTCATGCGTAGACGCCCCAGCGTGTGTTTTTACATGTGTATGTGGGGCGGGGGGGGGGGCACTCAACTTCTTTCGGGGGGGGGGGGGGGGGGGGTAATGTTATGTGCTTGGATGTAACTTTCACTTTTTTATAATTCAAAAACACAGACAAAAACTACCTGCCCAACACCTGGAACCACATGTCCTGAGCATCAGGTGATAGGAATTCAACATTCCTGCATTTGATGCCAGCTGTTGCAAGAGTTACCAGAACACCTTGCAATGACGCGCTTACAGACTTCTATCAATTAGCATTTCAAGGATTTGAAATGGTGCCAAATGTATAGGTGTACTTTTGTAATTGTAATAATTTAGATCTTAAAAATAAATACACCAAGCATAACACTTTGAGCAAACGTCAGGGCCCCATGTACTGCTGGTGCCTAGTGTTCAAGTGTCACTACAAAGACATAGGGATTGATTAGAAGTTTAACACAGGTACTTCCATGTACCACAAGGTGCCCATAATTCAGCACTTCCGTGTCGGTAGATCAGTTTTAATTCAAAGTAAGACAACTCATCAGTGATTCAAGGCATTGCATATCTCATACTGGATGATGAGCAGAACTGACCAGTGCAGTTGATGTCTCCAACGGATACACGGAAGGTAAAGTTGGGTTGATGTGCTTGTCCCTCAGCTTTGAGCAGGTCATACACGTCTTTCCTACCCGAGTCCCATACTCTTGAAGTAAGCTGATAGGGGTCTTCCCTGGACTAGACGCCAGCATCTGTTCTACACTGTAAAAAAGAACAAAATGATCTCCAGTATTCACATGTGGGCAAAGCCATATAAAAACTGTGCGATACGAGATGCACACTGATGTTAGATTTCTACACTCCAGACTGAAGCCTGAGTTACAGTTTACTCTACAGCCTTCAATCGGGCTCAAACTTTCAGACTGACTTTTTGTATTTTTGTACTGACATATGGATACATCAGGGAAATTGGCTGTTGGTAAGGGAGAATCAGCTAAAGTCACCTTGGCAACAAACCCATGTCTTAAAAAGCAGTCTTCCCTCTCTGTTCCCTACAATACAAGTGCCCACAGTAGAACTACAGGGCCTTGAAAAAGTATTCATATCCCTTAAAATTTTCCACATTTTGTCAGGTTACATAAAATCCCAATAAAATACATTTATGTTTTTGCTTGTGAGAGAACACAAAGTGGCACATAATTGTGAAGTGGAAGGAAAATGACAAATCGTTTTCAAACTTTTACAAATAAATGTGAAAAGTGTGGTGTGCCTTTGTATTCAGCCATCCTGAATCATTACTTTATAAAACCACCTTTCACTGCTATCGCAGCTGCAAGTCTTTGAGTGTCTCCACCAGCGTTGCACATCTAGAGTGAAATATTTGCCCATTCTTTGCAAAATAGCTCAAGCTCTGTCAGATTGGATGGAGAGCATCTGAACAGCAATTTTCGAGTCTTGCCACAGATTTTCAATTGGATTTAGGTCTGGTCTTTGACTGGGCCATTCTAAACACACAGAAATGCTTAGATATAAACCATTCCATTGTAGCTCTGGCTGTATGTTTAGGGTCATTGTCCTCCTGGAAGGTGAACCTCCGCCCCAGTCTCAAGTCTTTTGCAGACCTACAGATTTTCTTCTAAGATTACCCTGTATTTGGCTCCATCCATCTTCCCATCAACTCAACTGACCAGGTTCCCTGTCCCTGCTGAAGAAAAGCATCCCCACAACATGATGCTGCCACCACCATGTTTCACAGTGGGGATGAGGTGCAGTATTAGTCTTCCGCCACACAGTTTTGGTTTTAGGCCAAAAAGTTATTTTGGTTTCATCTGACTAGAGCAGCTTCTTCCACGTGTTCGCTGTGTCCCAAACATGGCTTCTCGCAAACGTCAAATGACACTTACGGCTTTCTTTGTGACACTTTTCCATAAAGGCCAGATTTGTGGAGTGCACAACTAATAGTTGTCCTGTGGACAGATTCTCACACCTAAGCTGTGAATTTCTGCAGCTCCTCCAGAGTTACCATGGGCCTCTTGGCTGCTTCTGATTAATGATCTCCTTGCCTGGCCTGTCAGATTAGGTGGACAGCCATGTCCTGGTAGGTTTGCAGTTGTGCCATACCTTTCCATTTTTGAATGATGGATTGAACAGTGCTCCATGCGATTTTCAAAGCTTGGGATTTTTTTTGTAACCTAACCCTGCCTTAAGCTTCTCTAACTTCATCCCTGACCTGTGGTGTGTTCCTTGGCCTTCATGATTCTGTTGATTCACTAAAGTTGAATAACAGACCTCTGAGGGCTTTACAGAACAGCTGTATTTATACCGAGATTAAATTACACACAGATGGACTCTATTTACTAATTAGGTGACTACTGAAGGCAATTGGTTCCACTAGATTTCAGGTATTTGTAAAAAAATAAAAATAATAAAGTTTAAACCATTTATCATTTTCCTTACACTTTTACAATTATGTGGCACTTTGTGTTGGTCTACCATATAAAATGCATTTATGTTTTTGGTTGTAACATGACAAAATTTCAAGGGGTATGAATACAAAGAAGATTTCTACACAGAGGGAAGGAGTACCAGTGACAGACCAGAGGGATAAGACACGTGAGGAAAAATCAGTACACAGGAATAGGACATGGAAAACAGTACAGCATGTCTGTACACAGAGATGGGACACTGACGACATGTCAGTACACAGAGGGATACTAAAAATATAAGGCTGGAGTGCCACCTTAGCTTGTACAGTACTTTGAAAGATTTTATTTTGTGGGCAGTGATGAAAGCACAGTAGGTCAGTGTACACACAGAGGAAAGGGGCACTGATGACAGTACAGTAGGTCAGTAGACACACAGAGGAATGGGGCACTGATGAAAGCACAGTAGGTCAGTAGACACACAGAGGGATGGGGCACCGATGACAGTACAGTAGGTCAGTATATACACACACACACACAGAGGAAAGGGGCACTGATGACAGTACAGTAGGTCAGTATACACACAGAGGGATGGGGCACCGATGACAGTACAGTAGTTCAGTAGACACACAGAGGAAAGGGGCACCGATGACAGTACAGTAGGTCAGTAGACACACAGAGGAATGGGGCACTGATGAAAGCACAGTAGGTCAGTATACACACACACACACGAATGTGGCACTGATGACAGAATAGAGGGATGGAGCACTTTTAACAATACAGTAGGTCAGTATCCAGACAGAAGGATGCGGCACTGATGAAAGTATACCAAGTCAGGAAACACCCAGAAGAGGGATGGGGCACCAAGAACAGTCCAGTAGGTGTTTATAGTGGGCCTGTACACACAGGTGGGCGGACACCATGCCTAGGTGCGGGGGCCTGCTCTTGCACACACAAGGTACACTAGGTGGACATGTGCAGTCAGCACTCTTCCGTGTACATCGTACTCCTGTCACGGCCACTCCCGGGAGCGCTGCACCGCCTACCTGGGACACCCGGAGTACGTCTGGCTGTCACAGTCCTCCGGCTCACTCATTCCCTCCTGCTCTCCACTCTCCAGCTATAATGGCCGGGGCGGGAAGCCGGGCTCGGAGAGGTCATACCATCAGGCCCCATGGCTCGCCGGGAATTGTAGTGAGAGGGCCCGTGTAGAGCCTTGCTTGTGTGCGACTCACCAGACTACGTTTCCCAGCTTGCCCCTCTTCTCCCTCCTCCTCCGCCAATTAGAGCGGGGCTTATAGGCCGGCCTGCCGGGCGGAGCCGCGCTGACGCCACGGTCAGTCTGCATAGTAGTAGCACACAGTGGTAGAAACAAGAAGGCAGAGCACGCCTATAAATCCACGCGGCGCGCATTACGCGTTCTGATAGGTTTATATCTGATTTCTAAACTCCACCTATTAGTTTTCTAGGCTCTCTACTGGGTTCTGGTCTCCTCCGCCACGCCTTCCCCTTTCCTATTGGCTGAGGCAGCGCACTCCTGTCCTGATGGATAATTCCCCAGCAGTAGCAGGCAGATCAGACTGCGGGACATGGAAGGATCTCTGTTGAAATGGACCAATTACCTGTCAGGTACTGGAAGCATCCCGTCTCCATACAGGGGCCCTATTCTTAGAGCTGGGTGCACGGAGCTGTCACCACCGGGTGTCCTGGGCTCTGGGTAGGCAGCCTGTCAAAGCTAGGGCTTGCTGGAGCATGTAGTTCTCTTAGTGCTTGTTGGGTTTGCTGGAACATGTAGTTCTCTAGATGCAGGTCAGGGAAGCCATTTCTGTTATACAAACATGCTGACTTGGCTTTGTATTGACCCATGAGCTAATACTTTTTATTGGAAGCTTTGTTTCCTCAATATACATGGGATGCATTGGGTTCATTATTACAGGAATGTATATAGTCAGCCCTTTACATACTGTACACCAGTCTCTGGGCTCCAAACATCACTAATAGTGGCCATACATGCTTCAATAAATGATCAATTTCTTTTCTGATCGATCCTCCAATAGGAATAATAGATCATTAGAGACAACCCATTTGATCCATATGTCACACGTGGAAATGTGAATTTATTGTTCACATCTCTGTTTTCACCATGTAGTCCTATAATCTTGATTGATCGATATATGATCATGATCAAAAAATCCCAATGCTGCCAATCGAAGCAAAATAATCAATCATTTTCCACTTTGTACTCAGTTTGATCAAATCTGATTGAAATTCAGTATCAATCAATTGAAAGGGCAAAGATTATACATAAATCGATCAAAAGGGAAGTTATGACTATTTGATGGTTTGCATATTCGATCATTTTGATTGTATCGCACATCAATCTGTTTTTTTTTTATGTATGTCCACCATGAGGTGCAGAAAAAAGTGGTGGTAATGTGTATAGTTGGCCATATTTTAGAACTGGGGGACGGGGCACATCCAGTTGTTGCAAGATTCCACTTGGCCCACAGTAACCCTGATGTGATGGGGGCTTCTGATATAAAGAGGGAGACTCTGATGTGATGGGGGCTTCTACTAATATAAAGGGGAGACTCAGATGTGAAGGGGGGCTTCTAAACAAAAGAGGGAGGCTCTGATGTGAAAGGGGGGCTTCTGTAGTAAAGAGGTAGACTATGATGTGAAGGAAGGCTTCTAATATAAGGAGGGAGACTCTGATGTGAAAGTGGGCCTCTAGAGTAAAGAGGGAGACTTTGATGTGAAGGGGGACTTCTAATATAAAGAGGGAGACTCTGATGTGAAGGGAGGCTTCAAATGTAAATAGGGAGACTCAGATGTGAAGGGGGGGCATCTAATGTAAAGAGGGAGACTCTGATGTGAAGGGGGGGCATCTAATGTAAAGGAGGGAGACTCTGATGTGAAGGGGGGCCTCTAATGTGAAGAGGGAGACTCTGATGTGAAAGGGAACTTCTAATGTAAAGAGGAGGACTGATATGGAGGGACTCTGATATGAAGGGGAGGGAGCTTCTAATGTAAAAAGGGGAACTCTGACGTGAACGGGGTACTCTGATGTGAGGGAGGGCTCTGATGTGAAGGGGGGAGGGGTAAAATGTAATGAGAGGAACTCCAATGTGAAGGGGGGCTTCTAATGTAAAAGGAGGACTCTGATCTGAAGGGGGGGTTCTAATGTAAAGAGGGGGACTCTGATGTGAGTGAAGGGGGGGTACTCTGATGCGAAGGGGGGGAGCTCTGATGTAGAAGGAGGACTATAATATGAATGGGGGGCTTCTAATGTAAAAGGAGGACTCTGATCTGAAGGGGGTTCTAATGTAAAGAGGATGACTCTGTTGTGAAGGGGGGGACTCTGATGCGAAGGGGAACATGATACTGAAGTGTATTTTTCGTGCACAGGGCAGCTCATTCAAGTGAATGGCCTGCCCTATGGTGTCTCAACAAACATGGTGACAGGTGTGAATGTTGCCTAAAGCATATGTATGGTCAAAATGTAAAATCAGATTTTTCAAGAAACTGTAAAGTGTCATTAAACTCACATCATAAACGATCAATAAATCCTGTACTACATGCTGTTCATACTTACTCAGACACTGTGAGCAGAGACGTCCCTAGGGTTGGTGTCACCCGGTGCGGTAACACTTGGTGACACCCCCTCCGATGACACCCACAGAATGGATCAGATCTGTGGATTGAGCAGAAACTCAGATCCATTATGGTCAATCTGAAGATCCGATCCGTCCTGCGGGGATCGTCAGCTTTCTTTACAACTTACCTTTTGTTGGAGCGGGGCCGGGGTCACCCTGTATAGGTTGCATGCTGACGATCCCCGCAGGATCACCTGACAGGAGGGAGGGAGGGGCCAGGAGCGCCAACTGGGGATCAGAGAAGAGGAGGATCCAGGCTGTTCTGTGCAAAACCACTGTATAGAGCAGGTAAGTGTGACATTTTTTTTTTTTTTTTTTAAATATGGCTTTAGTATCGCTGCAAGTTAACCTGTGTTGCAGCTCCCCTCCAGCCCCCCCTTTTACTTACCTAAGATCCATCTGATCTAGCTGCTGTCTCCCTCCTCATTGGGCAGGTTAATAGCAGCGGGAACCATTGGCTCCTGCCTCTGTCAGTCAAATGATGTGACACAGGAGCGGGGGGCAGGGCTGAGCCGCCCACTATGTGTCAATGGCTCGGGAGCACCCACAAGGGTGCACCCATGGAAAGCAGCATTCCGTGGGGGCACCCACCAAAAGAGGAGGGACAAGAGTGCCGGCAGGGGACTCCAGTAGAGGAGGATCTGGGCTGCTCTGTGCAAAAGCATTGAGCAGAGCAGGTAAGTATAAACATGTTTCTTATTAAACAAAACACAAAACAAAGGTTTAATATCACTTTACCCGCCTCCCACCCACCATATAGTACAATGACGGGCACAAGGCGGTTCTCCCATTCTGGGAGGACGTCATATGATGTTCTCCCATTCTAACCGCGCATGTGCGACTCCGGGAGTGTGCAGCTCGCCGATCGGCGGTGCGCTGTGTCCCTCAGACACAGCGGATCACCGATCCACGGAAAGAGCCAAAGATGTCGGCTCGGTCATGTGATTAGCAGTGTCCAATCACAGCTGATCGCATGTAAATAGGGAAATGCCGGTTATCAACATTTCTCTCCTCACGAGCTGTCACACTGACAACTCAAGAGGAGAGGAGAGCCGGTAATCGGCATTCCGCGGAGGGGACATGTACACTGATCATCAGGGCACTGATGATCTGTGTAGCTCCATCAGTGCCACCTGTCAGTGTCCATCAGTGCCAGCTGTTAGTGCCCATCAGTGCCACATTTCAGTGGCTACCAGTGCACATCAATGCCACATATCAGTGCCCATCTAAGCTGCCTTTTAGTGCCACCCATCAATGCCAGTCAGTGCCACCTAACAGTGCCAGTCAGTGCCATATATGAGTGCTGCCTTTCAGTGCCCATCAGTGATGCCTGTCAATGCCCATCAGTGCCACCTACCAGTGCCTCTTCATCAGTGCCACCTATCAGTGCAGCCTATCAGTGCCCATCACTGCAGCCTCATTAGCGCACATCAGTGAAGGAGAAAAATCACTTATTTACAAAATTTTATAACAAAAACGAAGAAAGAACTTGTTTTTTTCCCCAAAATTTTCAGTGGTTTTCGGTTTGTTTAAGAAAAAATAAAAAAAACAGTGAGGTGATTAAATACCACCAAAATAAAGCTCTGTCACAAAAAAATGATAACAATTTCATATGGGTACAGTGTTGCATGACCGCGCAATTGTCATTCAAAGTGTGACAGCACTGAAAGCTGGAAATTGGCCTGGGCAGGAAGGGGGTATAAGTGCCCTGTAGGCAAGTGGTTAAACCAAAGTCAGCTGGTTCAGGTACCACTATCTGTTCTACATACTGTAAGTCAGTCCAATGACCGGCTTCTGTCAAATGGTATTGCTGGACTGCCAGCATTCAATCAGTGCTTTCAGCCAATGGCTGTAGCACTGATCAGTGTATTCTGATAGGGTGAGGGGAGGTCCCGCTGTCAGAATGCAATAGCACAGTGTGAGAGATTCCCGTGTCACACATTGTTGTGTTGATAGGGGGATGTGACGTTTTTTTTTTTTTAAAATCAACCCACTGGTTGTATGAAAATAAACTGAACATGTTTACCTAGCTTTATACTGGATTGTCAGCCATAGCCATTGTTTATTGTCTATAGAACTGCTTTAAGCTCATCAGTCCATTCTGGCACCTGGATTTTTGCCTGGGGTATTTGACCTCAATTATAACAAGAATTTGCACATTCTTACAGTTACAGAACAAAGCATTAGAATACTGCCTGTAGTGCTTATCATATGCCGCCCTAGAAATCACCAAGGGGTGGTACACCATGTATCTATAGTGCTGGAGTCCACTGTCCAAACATAATGATCAGATACTGTTGACATGCTACAGGTTTGGTTGCAGGATTTCAGTCCATGGTGGCGTATTGTGTTACCAATGGTTTTTTTTGGTGACTGTGGTCCCAACTGCCTTGAGATCATTTACAAGCTCCTCCCGTGTAGTTCTGGGCTGATCCCTCACTTTTCTCATGATCATCCTTATCCCATCAGATGAAATCTTGCATGGAGCTCCAGACCAAGGGCGATTGATGGTTATTTTGTATTTCTTCCATTTGTGAATAAATCACCCCAACAGTTGTCTCCTTCTCACCAAGCTTTTTGCTGATGGTCTTGTAGCCCATTCCAGCCTTGTGCAGGTCTACAATCGTATCCCTGACATCCTTTGACAGCTCTTTGTTCTTGTCCATGGTGGTGAGGTTTGAATGGAAGAAAGATTCTGTGGACAGGTGTCTTTTATACACATAACGAGTTGTCCTTAGGAGCACCTAATTAAATTGTCAGGACTAATCTGTGTACCGCGTGAGCACATAGCCAGTATTGTTGGTTGGTAGGGGATCAAATACTTATTTTACTCACTGAACTGCATCTCAATTTCTAATGCAGGACATAGTTGGGTCGAAGACCGGCTGTTTTTTTTTAAAAAAAAAGAAAAATCGGTCGTTCAATTGGCCACCGTTACCACCGACGGTAAAAAAAAAAATCAGCCGATTTTCG